AAAGAACCTGATGACAGCTTTGTTGTTAGGTCTGATGCATGGAGTACACTATATCTGTCAGCATCAACCACAAAACCAGCATTGTTTTGTTTCAGTCAAGAGTCTTCCAAAGTCACACCTGTGGCTTTCAGGGCAAGTTCTCTGGACATCCCCCAACATGTGTCTGGAAGGGATCTGGCAACTCTTCAGGGAGAAAACCCACCCTGTAGAGCAACTGCCGGTTTTGCTGGCTTCTCTGTCTTTATGCCCTGGAGTCAGAAACAGCATAGGGCATTAGTACCGGGCACTGAGGCAAGCAGAACTGAATGTCCACCTCCGCGACAGCATCACTGGATTCTCTGTGCTAGTCCCCATCTTCTGTGGTCCACGTCAAAGCCCAGAAAACCAGGACACCACTTGTTGCTCTAGGCATCCTGCCAAAAGAAAACAAAAAGGGTTCTTCACTTGGCACTGAGCTTGTTCACTGTTTAAGGAGCATTTCTGTGGGGACAAAGCATTGTTCAGCTGACAAATATTTCTCCAGACCTATTTGCTGGCTTGGACTCACACATTAATGCAGATGTGGAAGATAAAGACAGCCATCCACAGCTAATACCCAACAGCGACGAATTGGCGAGAGGAAATAAGGTAAAATTAGTGCTACTTGTGCCTTCTGATGACCTAGGGAATATTAAAATTATATTCCTACATATAAACCTTAACATTTTCCAAGGGAGGGAGATGCTTCCTGTGCGTATGTTGGGGACAGAGTGTAGCAGTCTCTGAAAGCAGACTTTTTGAGGGGAGATCCTTGAAGGAACAAGGGTGTCTGGGATAGAAAAATAGAGGTAAGAGTGGTCTGAGTGAATTGTCACATTAGAGCTTGCTTCCTACCCCATGTAGAATTTAAGTCTATCAGGAATGTGATAGTCTAAGAGAACATTGAGCATCCCATAGGGTATTATATTGAGGGTCTAAAGTTCACTTGTTCCCCCCAGTTCTTGTAATGATGACTCTTAGAAAGACAGGTAAATAATAAAGTGGGATAATTGTGGGCTAAAATGTTTTTGGAAGTTGAGGAGTCAATATTATGTTTTCTTTGAAAATATATATCTCCAGAGAGGTCAATACTCTGTCTCTGGTCTTGTGTCTGGTCACTGGCCACGCAGCCTGGTGTTACACAAATTCTCTGTGAAATGCACAATATGGAAAGCATACCATTCTAACTGAGTCTTCTTTACTTATTCATTAAAGCATATAAAGATGAATAAAATGCAGAGCTTGCCCTTTACTGGGTCTTGGTTGAGTGAGAAAGACATGTAAACACAGAGATGGGGGCTCCATCAGCGGTATGACTAGCCCCTGTCTACTTGACCAGGACTGTGGAGGAAGTGACATTTGCAGGATTGGGTGGGAGCCACTGGGAGGCATTCTGGAAAGGAGAAGAATCCATGAAGAGCAAGGGTCAAGAGAGGGCTAGAGGCTGTTTAGGAAACCATATTAAAATAAAATATGATGTGTTACACTTTGTGATTAGTTGATAAATTCAGCAAGTCATCATCAGAAGAAATTAGAAAACTGCATTCTCTGTTTCCCCTTCCCCAGATCTTCTCCTTGGGTAAAACTCAGTGGTTGGTAAAATGGGTAAAAAGTGGATGTAACTAGACTCCCAAGATATCCCGAGAAATACGGAGCCAACGTTGAAGGGAATCCATTTCCTCCCTAGGCTTTTTGATTAAGGAAAAAAAAGCCAAGGCTGTAAGAAACTGTAGCAACTATGCAAAGTTGTCAGGGGTCCAAGAGAACCACAAGGGCATATAAGTAGATAAAAAGGTGAGACCAGGGCGGGGTTGGGTGGGGGAGAAATAGCTGGCCCAGATTAGAACAATGGCCTCATAAACACTCAAAAAGGAGCATGGGGCAAAGGAGGGACCGAAGGGGGAGCGCAGAGGACTTGGGGAGGGCTTGAATCTCCGAACAGCTAGACAGAGGCACCTGGGGCTTCAGGGTACACATTCAAGGGAGAGGAAAAGCGAACAAATGGACAGCAACCCACCCTTTCCTCTTCAGTCTCTGCCCTGGCAGGCTTAGCCTTCGGTGGGCGGTCTCAAGTGGAAGAGCAGGATAAAGCTCCTAATTCTAATGAGTCTGATGCTAAAATTTTGGGACCCTCAGCCCACCCTCAGTTACTCCGGGAGCCATTTCCTAGCAAGGGCTGGCACAGAGGCCCCCTCTGACCAGGGCGCGGCAGCTCTTCTTCGTCCCGCTCTCTGAAGCCCTTGCTGCCGAGCCCCACGCTAGATTCTGTCAGCGAACACCTGGGGCCTTGCCAGAAACTTGTCTCTAACGGAGTGAGGTCCTGGGCAAGACTGTGAGGTGTCTCGGTGGAAAAATCCGGGGCGCGCTAGATGTCCTTTGCGGTCTTTTGAGCTTTGGGCTTTGAGCTCTAGGGTTCTAAAAGCTTGGTAGCCTCAAAATAGAAAACCAGCTCCCCTCGAGGTGAAGTGAGAAACATCGCTTCAAAAGACAAATGTTTGTGGGGACAGTTAATTAATTTATTTATTTTTAAAATTTTAAAATAATTTTGTTATATTAATTTTCCACCCCTTTTTTGGGGGGACGGTTAATTTTTTTATCCTTATTTATGAGGTAAATATAAATCAGGGCCTATGTTTGTGAACAGTTTTGGAAAACTTTCACTGGGTCTTAACTTTATTACACTTACCTAGCTTTTAAAGACTGTCCTTATTCAGTCCTGCAGATGCTCACAAGTCACAAAGAAACCTAGGCTATTATTATTTGCAAATACTGGGAATTTCGGAAACTCTCCCAAGTCCTGTAGCTAGATAGTGGCCAAGTTGGGACTATAGCCCAGCCTTCCTCATCCCTGGCACAGCCCGGCGCAGGATCCTACCCCCAGGCCTCGCGTCTCCTAATTTCCTTCATCAAATGTTCATTAGGTGCTAACCACACATTTAGTACAGCACTAGAACTTGTGGGAGATGCTTTTCTGCAAGGAATTTCTGATCCCACTGGTAAAGCTGGCCTTAAATTGAACATCATAAGCCCCAGCCCCATGGCATACAGTAGAATTGAAGAGTCCTACAAGATGAAGAAAGGAAAACTGTTCCTTGACATTGGATCTCTGCAGAAGCCAGTTGGGACAGATTTGGGAAAAGAGCAGATAGAAGGCCAAAAAAGAGAGTTGAGACACCGAGGGAAGCAGTAGGAAGGGGAAGACAAAGACGCGGTCCCAGCTCTCTTGGAGGATTGAGATCATAGTTGCTGTTGTCCCCTTTCAAAGAACTGGGCTTTGTTCCAATTCAACTTTCCGTTCACAAGTAGGTATTTCCTTCAGCGGGGTGGGGAGATGGCAAGCTCTGATTCCAGAAGACTGAGGACTGTCCTCCTTAGTCAGAAAGAGGGGAGGGTGTGCACATGATTCCTGTGCTGCCACGTTCCTGCGTCAGCCTCGGTGTGGGGTACATTGACAATCTCATGGTGAATTTATGTCGAAGAACTAAAAATAATCGTTTAACCTGCTTCAGAGTTCTCCCTTATTAGGGATTTGGTTGTAAAATCTCGCTGGACCGGCTACTGTTGCTTCCTACTGGTTGAGTGTGCTTCAGTTAGTGGTTAGGGGTGGAAATGATTAACTGCTAAAGACAAGGGTTTTCTTTCCTTTCTTTTACAATGGCAACTTGTTTCTCCCTCCTCTCCTAATGTCTTTGTTGAACAAACAGCATTTCAATAAGAGTAAACAAAATATCTTAAGAAGAGCTGTCACCATAAACACCAATTCTTTTTGTTTTTCATGTTTTCTTTCCCTAGTTCTCATGTCCGTGCATCTGTATTTTTATCTGATTATAATCATACTGTTGATAGGGTTACATAATCTGGTTTTTTTGCTCTAGATTACACTGTAGACATTTTTCACGTTTCCACAGACCTTGTGATTCTTATCTAATGGCTGTATAATATTCCAGAGGACGGATGTGCCATTATTTGAGTTAGCCTTTTTTCTGTTCTTGGCCATCCCGGTTTTGGTCAGTTTCTCACTCTCATTCAGCTCATGGATTTAGATGCAGTTTCTAGAGAGACAGAATATGTCTTTGAAGCGATTGGCTTTTGAAACTTGAAATAGGCAAGTGTCTCTAGCAACACTGTGTGTCCAGCAGATAAAAAGACAGTGAGGGTGTAAAAGCGGCGTGTGGATGGTTGGCAGACAATAATTCTTATGGCTGGACAAAATATCACCAATAGTTTGTAACTGACATACACAGTGATATTCATTTCCGTGATTAATAACCAAAGCCTTAGAAATACTGCTACGCGGTGCCGTTCTAGCCTCTCCTTTTCTGCCCCCTTGGGCCCGAACTGCATAAAAGGGGACAACATTGCTGGTACTTTCTGCAGTAGACTAGTAATTTGCGTCCCTTGATTTGGCTTCTGAACATGAAGGCAGGATGCGAGGAGGCATGTGCTGCTCTCTGGGCAGAAGTAAGCGGGTCTCATGTTGGCTTTATGCTAGCAGGTGAGGGCAGGTGGTGTATAGAGGGGGTCGGGGTTGTATGTAGAATGGATGGGGGGTACTGGTATATATAGCAGGGAAGGGGTAGTATTTATAGCAGGTGAGGGCAATATGGTGGTATACACAGCAAATGTGTTGGGGGGCGGTATATAGAGTAGGTTGGGGGGGGGGGCTGTGTACTGAGGGTCAGGCCGGCTACTCCCGTATCCTCCTGCCGCAGGAATTTAAGCCAGTCCCAAGAAAGCATTTCACCCCTTGCAGGAGAGAAAGATTTGGGGTCCGGTGGCAGGTGTCCCAAGCCCTGAAGGCGGCTGCACAAGGCAGAGCTGAAGGGCGGGCCGCGGAGGAGAGCCCGTGGCGAGCGGGGACAGCCTCTCGATGGGGCAGTAGGGACCCGACTGGGACCCGACTGGGACCTGGGTCGACGCGGGGCGGGCCGGGGGCGGAGCGCGCGGGGGGCGGGGCCCGGAGGGCGGCGGGGCGGAGCACGTCTGCAGCCGCGGAGCCTCGGAGCTGTCCCCCGCGCGCGTCCCGCCTGGTCCCAGTGCACCGCCGCGCTCTCGCCCCCGCCATGCTCCTGCTGCTGGGGCTGTGCCTGGGGCTGCCGCTCTGCGCGGGGTCTCTGGAAGACGCGCGGACCCGGGATGACACTTCGGAACGAGTAAGTAGAAGTGGGAGGACCTAGAGATGGCCCTGGGCGCGGGCTGCCACCCCTTCCCGCCGCCTTCTTCGGGCGCGTGGCTGTTGGACAGACTCCCTTGAATGGCTCCTGGACGCAGGGAAGGGAGAGATCACCCCCACCTCCCGTCATATCGTCACCCCTTCTCTCCGTTTCCCAACCTTCTGCTCGCAAGCGTCCCCATCTGTTGGTCACTCTTGGCGAGAGTTTGGATGAACTTTCCGCAGAATTGTGTCTGGGATTTGAAAGCCCCGCAGAACCAAATCTTGGTTCCTGTTAATGGTGTTCAGTTTTGAGAGCGAGCCCCAGCTAGTTACAAAGTTTCTCCTTTAAGATGCACGCATGGGGTGGTGTGGTGTTGCTGTTGTTCCTAGCAGTTCAGAGAAAAACACCATCCAAAAGTTGCAGACTCTCCTCCACTTTCCCCATCTGAAAACCAGGGGGACTTGACTTTCCCATCAGGCTCTTAACAGTGGGTTAGCAGTTCAAAGGTGGCCTGATGGTCCGGGAGGACCAAAAACCCAGTGCCCACTTACCGGAGTTAGCAGCCTGTGCATCTGCTGGAGTTTGTGTTTTGAAGGGCTCAGCTCACAGGTGGATAAACCCGCAAGTATGATATCTCACTGCCGTACCCGAGGAAAGGGAAAGCTTTTTGGAAAAATATAAAACGAACTGACCAAAATATCAATGGGGGGGGGGGGCTGTGTCCCAGTTAAAGTAGGCATTTCCTGGTACTGTTTCCACGCATCATAGAATCGTTTAGCTTAAAGCATGTTTCAGATGATGGGAACAAGAGATAAGTAGGTGTACTTTTCCTCCCCTTTCTCCAGCAGCTCGCTTTAAAGAGCACATCTGGAAGACGGTTAGTCTCTCGTTGACTCTGCACAGGGATGTGCTTTCTGCACAATGAAAGAAAGGGTCCTTCTCACATAGGGTCGTCAGGAGGAATAACCAGGACAGATTTGAGGAGGGTGAAAGGTAGAGGGGGGAAAGCGCCCGCGTTGGGTCCAGAAACTGTGGGAAATAATAGGGTTTTAAGGATTGAAGAGTTAACAGTCCTAAAGCGCTTGGTACAGTGGCAACACTTATGTTAGCTCTGGCCATGAGGCTTGGGCTGCTGAAGCACAGAGGGAAGGAATTTGGGGTAAAGAGCTTGAAAGTTTTGGGGGGGGGTGGAGGGAGGAAAGTGTGGGAGGAACTGAAACAAGGATTCTGTTGATGAGCGAGGAGGAGGGAAGAAAGCGCCAACATCTGCCAGTGCGCGTGCGCTTCACACTCAACTTTTCCTGCATAGAGTAACGTGGCTTTGGCCCATTTTAGCCATTTCATGCTGCCTTCAAATCATAGCGCTATTTATGCGTCCTAAAAATGACTCAGACAAAAATTCCCAAGATATGAAGTTCTATGAAAGTTAGCAAATTTTACCTTTTTAGCTCTATTAACAAAAGAAACAAAAAGCAACAACGTGTGTGTGTGTGTGTGTGTGTGTGTGTGTGTGAGAGAGAGAGAGAGAGAGAGAGAATGAATAAAGTAGGATTTACGAACACAGGTTCCAGAACAAGACCTCCTGGGTCCAAACCCTGGCCCTACACTCCCTGGAGAGTTACTTACTGTCTGTGAGTCTCTGTTTGCTCATCTGTAGAATGGGGATGGTGTAATTACTCAGTTAAAAGAATCTTGAAGATTGAAACTTTGAACAGTATGTGGCGATGGCATTAGTGCTGACTCTCCATAATTATGATCTTCAGAATTATATGTAAACTTAATTTATAAATGTAAATGAGTATGTCAATTTCATGTAAATTTTAATGCCGATGAACATGCATATTAGCTTGCATTGTCACTTACTTGTTGCTTACCTTCAATTGGCAGTATTACTAATAACACCTTAAATTCAAGTTCCTTTCTCCCCTCTGGCCCTTCACCCCATTTGTAGACAATATTACCCATAGCAAGGGACTGCTCTCAGCAGTGGTCTTCGAACTTTGGTATGCAAAATGATACTCAGGGAGCTCATCAAATACCCTGGGTGGCTCAGTAAGTTAAGCATCTACCTTAGGCTCAGGTCATGATCCCAGGGTCCTGGGATTGAGCCCCATATCGAGCGCTGCTCAGTGGGGAGCTTTCTTCTCCCTCTCCCTCTCCTTGCCACTCCCCCCTCCCCCACCTTGCTTGTGTTCTCTTTCCCTCTCTCTGTCAAGTGAATAAAATCCTTAAAAAAATACACAGACTCCCATCAGTTTAGATCCATTAGGTTTGGGGGGGGGGGCTGGGTGATTCTGAAATAGATGACCAGTGACCACACGTAGAATAAAACTGCTTTAAAAGAATCTTTCAGGAAACTAATATTAAAAAGGAAGTCTCTTGTATAAAATCAGCCTGTCGCAGATTTATCTCTTTCCTAAATTTCAGATTATATTGTTTCCTTAAATTGGAATAGGGCTGTAGTCCTATTACTACAAAAACAGTTTTTAATTTACAGAATAGCGATAACCACTAATAGACTGAGTGTTCCTAATGTCCCGGAGAGTTCGCTAGCGGCTCTGCGTAAAAATAGTGAGAAGCAATGGAGAATATGGTGGGATCCAGGGGGAGCCAGACTGCCCGGGTTCAAATATGCGTCCCAGCACTGACTTTGTGTACCTGGGCAAGTAACTTAACCTTTCTGGGTCTCCGTTTCATTGTCTACAAGACAGAATTATTACTCTGATTGGCAGCGGTGGATCTAGGTTTTTAGAGGCAAGTAAAGTTTACATCATTGGTAGGGCCCTCTTTGAAGAAAAAGAACATCCAATTAGGACTACAAAATTTAGGTGCTAAAGTGAACATGTATTTAAGACGATAAAGAGATCACAACACAGGCCACCTGTTTACAGGCTGACAGACACCACAGACATCAGCCGTTGTTGAGGGACTGTGCAAGGGAGGGATCCTGACGCTTACATTTTATTAGCTTCTAAATAATAATAAAATAATAAATCCACTATTGCTCTTACAGTTGCTGTGAAGATTTAGTAGGTTAATTCTCATGAAATACATGCATTCAGTAAGCACTAAAGTGATATTAGCTATTTTCACTGTTTAAGGACCGCTTGCTTAAATCTCTGATGACCACGGCAAGGAGAGTCTCAGTGTGCTTCCTTCCCAGGAGAAGCAGGGAAGTTCTCCCAGGGAGAGTGACACCAGAGTGACACGTGCAGAGCCTGGATTAGAACCCAGGTGTGCTGAATGCCAAGGCTGGGCTTTACAGGCTCCTCCAAAGACCAAGCCACTTTTGTATTTATAACATAATAGAATTTGTTTCAATGTGCTTTTCATTTGCGGCTCCCGGCATATGGGTAGTGTTCAATATACGCCTGGGATACCACATTGATTGTGGGGATATGTTTCTGATAGCCTGAATTGAGAATTTCTGGAATTTTAGTTTTTTTATAATCCGCCACTCAGAACCAGACCTCTGCATTTGGAAACACAAATCAAGAATCAAGACAACAATTTTTTTGTTTTTGTTTTTGTTCTTAACTCTTTAAAAAGTAAAGTCACTAAAAGATTTTGTGAGCTCCAGACCACTCAGGACTGTCTCCTTTTATGGGCCTGGGTGTGATTGTTAAAAAGGAGCCATCCGATGAATGGGAAGGAGGATATTGTGGGAGACAGTCCAGAGATTTACTCACTCCCCAACCAGCCATCTTCTATTTCATTGAGTACAAGGCGGAGGAAGGAGAGGGTGTATTGAGAACTGGGTCTGTGATCTGTATGTGACTTCATTTTCCTACCCAGCAATTTCCCCCACACCTCGGATGCTCTATTGAAAGCATTCTTGCCTTTTTGCTGTGAGGTTCCTGTCAGAGACCCCAACTGGCTCTCTGTAGCTAACGACTGGCTGGCTGGTTCCATTTAGGAAGATGGCATCATGGGAGGGAGACCTAAGCTTTTTTGGGGGGCAGGGTTCCTAAATCTCCTCCTTATTTTCCTAGAGGCAAAGTCCAATTCCCTTGTTTTTCTCAGGTAAAGAAAGTGACTTCCCTAAGTCCAGTTGCCTTTTTTTTTTTTTTTCTTATAAACCTGCCTGGAAATTGTTGGGAATTGTAGCCCAAAAGTGAAGTTTCTTCTTCCATGGCTGAAGTTATGGGCACCCCGAATTGCAAATGGTCATTAGCTAAACATCCTGCGTCAGCATTACTCCGAAGGAATAAAACTTTTGTGCGAGGCATGTCGAGTTACCCAAACAGGAATCTTCCCAGATGAATTGTTCTCAGCCCAGGTGACAGGCAGTGACTGCAGTGATGTTCCAACCCATGGCCCTAGATTTTGTGTTAGGCCCTCTAGCAGATCTCGGAGGCCCTGGCTCCTGAGTTCCTGGCTCTTGGTTTCGAGATCAGAACACTCCCAGGGGAATGGGGGCCAACTGGTGGGTAGGTTCCCAGTACAGAGCCCTTTAGGAACTCCTCACTTCTGTCCCTAGATGGGGGTGTGGCTAAGGCTGGCCCAAACGCAGCATCCCTTGGATCTGTTAGGAGACCCGGACATCTCTGTTCAATCAGCGTGGGTCATCACCGCATCCGTGCCAGGAGGGAATGTCTGTGTTCTGCATATTCTGAGTTTCTTCCACCGGGGTTAGAATTAGGTTTCACTCTTTACCTCTCTTCCCATGCTCTTTCCCATTTATGGACTTTTTGGAATGTTCTAAGAGTATTTCCGACACTGTGATAAATCTGGGAGGCAAATACAGTCCCTGTTATTCAAATTATGAATATTTAAGCAATGCCTACACCATCTTTCACCCAAAGCTAGGCTAACTGATAATGTAGATGGGAGATTCTAGACTCCACATCCCCGACAGTGGTATTGCTACATTTTCTGTGCGAAGGAAATCTTCACCAACCCTCTCCCTCCTGGTAGTGAATGCTGCTTAGTCCGTACAAGTTGGAGAGGCGGTGGTAGACCTCTGAAGCTATTTCTCAGCGTAGTTCCTGTATTGAACCTGATGCTTTGTCAGTTTCTCCTGCCCCCCCCTTTTTAAAGATTTATTTTGTTTATTTGACAGAGAGATCACAAGTAGGCAGAGAGGCAGCTAGAGAGAGGGGGGAAGCAGGCTCCCTGCCTCGCAGAGAGCCCAACTTGGGGCTCAATCCCAGGACCCCGGGACCACGACCTGAGCCAAAGGCAGAGGCTTTAACCCACTGAGCCACACAGGCGCCCCTCTCCTATCCTTTCATCCCACTCCAGCAATGCCTGCGCCACTGATTTAACCTTACCTCCAATGTAGAGCCTCTCACGGTTACTCAGGGGGCATAGAGAACTCTCCTTTTTTCCATTTCCTTTGTAACTTATGAAAACTATCCTTTCTATTAAGTTTTCATGAGTACGTTTCTTTCTTTCAAGTCATATAGTATGGTCCTTGACAGCAAGGATTATGGCGTACATTTCTCAGTTAAAATTGTGGCCTGGACATCTTCTGTTCCAATGCTGAAGAAATAAGCTCGGCTCAGTAGTAGAAAAGAACTTTATTTGGGCCCTCTCTGAAGTCCGTGATTTGGAGCCTCGAGCTCTTGACATTACTACTCATGGCGCCCTTGACAATGGATGGGAGTCAGTTCCATATCTGTCCTGAAACCCTACTCCCAAATTCTTGTGAAGCTTTGGGAAACATTCAAACAATAAGAAGGATCAGGAATTCCTAACTAAAACCAAAGATGACAACATCGGTGTCATTTCCAGTTCCAGTCCTAGCTGGCACCAGGAGTCTCTCTGTACTGGGAAGCTTTGATTCTGGTTCAGTCTCTTTTAAACTTGGACTGAAGCATTGCCATAGTGGTCCCCTGAGAAATGAGATAGTCATCTCAAAAATGAAAAACCAACTTCTCTTGTTCTCCTTAAAGCTTGTTTATTTTCTTGGAAAAGCTATTTTACAGAGGAGGAAACTTCAAAGAAAATACTTGAGATCAATCGCAGATCTTAATACCTGAGAGAGGTTGGGCTTTCTTTCTGACCTTAGCTGTTAAGTGGTCCCCAGCCTATTCCACAATTTGAGGAAGGGAAAGGCCAGATGTGAACCGGCAGAGCTGGCAGAGACCTTGCCCAGAATGCTTATTCTGGCTTTCTGTGGACAGTATCTCAGGCAGAACACCTCGTCTGAGGGAGAGAAACCAGTATCATCCTACTAGTTGGTTCTCATTTGGACTCAGGGTGGTGGGTTTTAAATCTTGTACTATCTCTCCTGTTCCATGTTCTATAGAATAGGAGGCTCTGTAATGGCTTATAACAATAGTTTACAATAGTATATATACCATAGCGTGTGTGTGTGTGTGTGTGTGTGTGTGTATGTGTGTGTGTATTCCACCCCCCTGCTCAGGGGAGATCAAGGGAGGATAGAGATTAAAACAGTTACTGTTATGACTTTAGTTTATCAAATGGAGGTAGCTTTATTGTTTCCTTTTCTGTTGTGGAAGTAAAATGTGTTCATTAGTGAAAAACTCAGATAACACGGGAAAGTTTAAAGAAGAATAATTCAGCTACCCGGAGGTGGCAGCCATTAGCACTGTGGTGTACATTCTACACATACAAACACTTACGCTTACAAAAATTAGATCATATTAACTGTAAGGTTTTGTTACCAGATATAGTCACTTGAAATGTGTCATGGATATATTAATCAGGATAGGCTAGGTTGCTCTGTGGTGACAAGGTCTTAAAAACCTCAGTTTCTCAAATACCACACATTGACTTCTTGCTTATACAACCATCCATCTTGGGTTGATGGCTGTCACTTAGGAAGTCGGGCTTCATGCGCAGCTGCCGTTTCACACGTTGCTAATTACTGTACCAGAAAGCTAAAACAGTTCTGTAGGATCATACATCTGTAATGACATCACTTGATCCAGGAGTGACGAATGCCACTTACATTCCTAACTTACTGGTGGAACTAGTTGCATGGCCATCTGCCTTCCCACAACGGGCCCAGATAATGCAATACTTCTGGCAGACAGCCAGAGAAATATTTGGTGGACAGCACTGAAGTCCAGTAAAGTGAATGTTTGTTGATGCCAGTAAATATAGATAACACCATTCTTTTCTTTTTTTTAAAGATTTATTTATTTATTTGAGGGAGAGAGAGCGAGCACAAGCAGGAGGGGCAGAAGGAGAGAGAGAGAGAATTCCAAGCAGACTCCAGACTGAGTGGGGAGCCTGATGTGGGGCTCGATCCTACAACCATGAGATAATGACCTGAACCAAAATCAAGAGCCTTATGCTTAATTAACTGCGCCACCCAGGTGCCCCACACATCATTATTTTCTATAGCCATGTAATTAATCCATGTATCATAATATACTGATTATACTGAATAATATACTGAACCAAACCTCTTTTTAGAGATATTTTAAGCTATTTCTAATTATTAACAATTGTTTTAAAAGTTCCAAAGAATTTTCTTACTTTTTCCCTCTTACAGTAGTCTTCTGTAAGTAGAATTTCTAAATTAAAAGGCATGCATACCGATGGGAGTGGAAAATGTTGCAGCCACTTTGGAAATCAGTTTGGCAATTTCTTAGAAAGTGAAACTTAAATTTACCATATGACCCAGATAATCTTCTCCTGTATATCTATGTCCAACACAGAGACTTGCATGTGAATGTTTATGTAAGTTTCATGTTATTCATAATAGCCAAAAACTGGAAAAAACCTGAACATCACCTGGCGAATGGATAAACACAATGTGTTATATCTGTACAATGAAGTATTATTTAGACATGAAAAGGAACAAAATACTGATAAATGCTACAACAGGGACAAACTTGAAAAGGTTATGTTAAGTAAAAAAAGCCAGTCATAAAAGACTATATATCATGTGATTCCATTCTTGAAATGTCCAGAATGGGCATATCCACAGGGACAAAGTAGATTAGTGGTTGACAGGTGACAGGTAAAGGGTGTGGGGTTTCATTTTGATCTAGTAAAAATGTTCTAAATTGATGATGGTGATGGGTACACAACTCTGACTATACTAAAAAACATTGTTCTGCACTTTAAGTGAATGATTATATTGTCTGTAAGTTACACAACCTTGAGCTGTTAAAAAAGAAAAGATCCGCATAAAGACCATATTTTTCAAGTTTTTGATCAACATTATCAAATTGGCCTCCAGAAAGGATGGTTTATTACTCAGCAATATTTAAACAGTGATTTTCTATGAATAATGTTCAACCACCAGCTAGGACTTTTACATTAGTCCAGAGTGGCTGATCCATTAATACAAGTTTTTTAAAATAAGGATTTTTATCACCTTCCCATAGCCCTCCTCCCCATGTGGGAAAGTACAGTTTAAATAACCAGAAAAAACACAGGGAGAAAATTCAAGGTAAGTTCAGTTTTGCTTGCAGAGTTTCCAAAAGTTTTGAGTTAAATAACCAAGCCCCTCAGAGTAGAACTGAATACATTTACTCACTGTAAGAGACACAATAGCAAAGAGCTTCAAGGCAGAAATAGAATAAAATGAAGTACAGATATTATGATGAATTCTTTGCTCTCGTCATTTCGTGCTCCTCTGACAGGTGGAAGAAGACGCAGGTGACGAGGTGGCGCCATCACGGTCGAAGCAGTTAACCAGGGTGGAGGGGGTGGGTTCCACCTCTGGGCCCACTGCTCCTTCGTCAAAGGTCCAATATACTTTTCAGGGTGGACTGTCTCTTCTGTGAATTTCAATTGATTTTAACCCCCTCGTGTAATGCATTTCACAATGACCTCCCAATCCTATTTCATGACTCTTCTCTCCTTGTAGGTTGGACTCAGGGTGCCAAGGCAAGCCCGACTGTTGCAAAGGCTGGTATGTATATTCCCGGGACAGCTTCCATGTCTGCGCCCTCGCTACTCTGTATATTTTGAACCAGGCCCTACCTTCGCTTGCGGCTCCGCCAAAGCTTGCAAAGCTGCTCGCAGAAGAATGCTGACATTAAACAGCATAGCTTTTATAAGGCTTGCTTGAACTGGATTTTCTTTCTGGAAAGAGACCTGATTATTTCGGTAGGGCTCTAAGGACAAAGGATGGAGTTTCAGAGCCTTTCCAAAAAATGAAAAAGCTTAAATAACCTGTACTTTTTATGGCATTCTTACACGAGAAATAAAGGCTTTGTAGTGAAGTAAACAACTGAAGTAAGCAAAGAATTCGCGTTGGTCATCTCCAGCTCCAAGGAATGGAGTTGGGCAAGGCTCTCGGTGTGTGTTGGAGGCTATCAGATTGGAATTTGGGCGAGCGTTCAGGAAGTTGAAGAGCTTATTTGACGCAGTCTCCGTTCTTCCTTACCCCTGTGTATGCAGAGACAGATCAGAATGTGGGAACGTGCCTTCAGGCCTGGGATGTGGATTTGGTGGCAGTTCTCAGGGGCTGGGCACCCCTCCAGGGCCTCTCTACACCTGGGCAGTGTCTGAGTCGGTTCTAGCTTTACCGTGATGCATGTCACGATCATTACCGTCTTTGTCAGGCTGCGAAGTTGTATTCTTGTTATTCTCTGCTTGGTTCTCCCTCCTCCTTTCTTCTCCCGATCCTCCCAGGATCTTTGGTGTTTGTCTCCACGTTCACATAATCACAGACAGCCATACACAAACATAAACATGTCAAGAATTGCGAAGAATCTGGACTTCCCCCAACTTGCAAGCCAAGGAGAGGGTTTGTTGCCATTGCCTGGATGCCAGCAGAGCACAGGAGACTCCTGGGTCAGAGACAGAGGGTGATCACTGCTCGCAGAATAGCTGCGCGGGAGAGCCCGTGTTTGTATCGTTCCTGGGACCTGATGGGCACGTTCTCTTCATCATTCTAGATATTAAACCAGCTTCCCCTTTGCTCTGGAGGGAGAGCCCACCTCTTCCAGAGCTGTTCACTATTCAAACATCCCTGAAAAGACAATTCAGAGCAAAGGCAGTTAGAGCCTCTGCTCAAAAAAGTGTGCAGAAATGCCAGGGACTCCTGAGAGTAGTCTCCCGGAAAGACCTGTACACGTTTTCTTTCGTTCATGCATGCCTTCATCCCGACTGATACTTTTTTGAATGCTTATTATCTCCCCTGCACCACGGTAGGCACTGGGAAGACAGTAATGAACAAGACAGACCAAAGACCCTGTCTTTCATAGACCTTGAATTCTGAAGTGGGGCAGAAATAGATGAAAAAGACAAAGTGAATAAATAAATCGTAAGCGTCTTAGTAACAGAGAAGATGATGGTGCCACTGAGAAAAAGAACATGCCAGAAGATGGCGGAAACAGAGACATTCGCATGTATGAGATTTCTATCATTGCTGCCAGTGGGATCATACAATGGCAGCTGAGGCTGGCCGAGGGTTTGCTGGGTGCCTGGAGTTGTTCTAAGTGCGCCCATGTCATACTCAGTCACTTCTGTACCATTCTTTGAGGTGTTAGAAATGAGAAGGCAGAGGCTCAGAGGGATTGACTAACTCACCCAAGACTACACGTTTGGGAAGAGGTGGCAGAACCAAGATTTGAGTCCCTCATCCGGCTTCTGTGTGTGCTCGTAACACACACACTGCCTTGTCAAGGACAGATCTTTTGGTCCATTTCTTATTATTTTCAATCAATCATATGTCACTTGGCCTAACTGTGTCCATTCTTTTAGGTGGTGAAAAACATTCTCCGTAGTCGGCGCACCATAATTTGTTAAGCATTCGGCTGCGGACGAGCTTTCGATTTGTCTTCCGTTTTCTGACCCCTGTAAAAAATGCTGCAGAAGGGTTTTTTGTTTATTCTGTTATGTGGGTGCTTTTTAGTCTATGACCTAGATTTTCAATAGAAAGATTGCTGGATCAGAGGTGCATGACATTTTACATTTCGATAGCTGTCAGACTGCTTTTGAGTACTACTGCTCTTAATACTGTCTTTATTAATTTCATTTCTATGAGCAATGATAAATATGCACATTTCTGCCACCAAACATATAATCACTCTTTTTGGCTTGTCAGTCTCTTAGATAGAATGTGTTGTCTCATTGTTCCTTTAACTGACATTTGCCTGACTACTTAGGAATTTAGACTTTTTCTTCCTATACATTTATTGGCTATTTACAGTGGTTCTTCTGTGAATTATTTGTATGTGTGTGTGTGTGTGTGTGTCCTGTACCCATCTTTCTATTGTGTCTTTAATCCCCCAGTGGTCATTATGTTAGAGATCTTTGTATGGAGAGCTACTGTCTTCTGAATTGCAAGAGTCCCCCCGACCCTGATGTCTCATTTATTGATTAACTTTGTTTATGGTATGTTTTCATGTAGAAGTTTTAAGTTCCTTAGTAATAAATGAGTTCATCTTCTCTTTCTAGCCTTTGAGTTTTTGTTTTTGGTTTCAAAGATTTTCTTGACCCTTAGACTTAGAATATTTATATAATTTTTATAATTTATATATTTTATTATAATTTATATATAATTTAATTTAATTTATAATTTTATTATAATTTATGTGGCATATATTATATATAACATATAGTATAATTTATATGTAATTTATATATAATTATATATTTATATAAGTATAAAATTACATGATTTATATAATCACTTAGATTTTCTCAGACATCTCTAAAAATTTTAAAAGTCTTACTTTCACATGTATTACGCTTTTTTACCATGAACCTTGTTTATACATCCAGCTGGTACAAGAATGATCTTCCCAGCAGTAGACCCTATGCTTCCTTCCCTTTTGCACATGTCTTTGGTGCCTCCACGTTACATATAGGATAGACTCCAAGGACATGTAAGGCCTTGTGTGATCTGACTGTGGTCAGCCTCTGTAGCTTCAGTTTATCCTGGGAATCTCCTTATGTTTTATGCTCTAGCTGTCCACACTAATTGAAGGTCTCCAGATGTTCTCTAACTAATGAATAGAATGTGGACGGCAACAGCTGTTCCTCTCCTATCACTGCCAACTCATGAACCACAGGGATTGCTTGACTTTCTTTTGAATTAACTGGATACCCTTTTTATGACACTCTTTGGCAACACAGACACAAAGAAAATTTGTATTTTAAGAAGCAGGGGGTATCTTTGTATCTGAGTATCGTGGTCCTTAACAGAGAGTGACCCGGTTTTCACTGTCATCACTTAACCTCTCAGGGGCAGGAGTAGGTCTTGGCATCTTCTTCATAGGAGGTGTTCTAAAATCTGTACTTGGAGTATGTTTTAAGTAGTTTTGATAAGACATGGAGACCTGGAACTGATCATCACAAAGGAGGAACTTTATATTCATAGGTCCCTAGGAATAGTCAGCACCATGCTGGTTTCTGGTTGTCTGGGATCTAGCTCTGGGGTGAGTTGGGGAAAGGGGAGCCTTGGCTTGGTGTGTGGGAGGTTGACCAAGGAGGCGGCTGGGAGTGTGGGCTCTGGACAGATGGGCTGTGTGTCGACGGTGGGCTCACACAGGAGGAGTTTGCTGTCTTTAAGGATTAGCTTGCCCTGGGAAGAACAGTCTCTTGAAGAGCAAGGCCCCAAACACCAGAGCGACAAGAAGATAGAAAATACAGTCAGCCCGCACGGTGCTGGGTGTTGTTACCTCACTGGGGGCTACGTATGTGTCTGTCACCTTTGTTGCGACTCCAGCTATCGTGGTTTCTCTCTTATTACGAGGTGTATAGAGTAGGGTTTCTTTCTCTATGTAAAGGTGATAATTGCATTTTGTTTCCTTTCCTCTGATCATAAGGAAAGGTTGCTCAGTAGAATGTATTAGCACAAATGGCAATTCAGACTTAATGCCACCCTCTGTCTACGAGGAAGTGAAATTGTGTCACCCAGGTGGCAAACACAGTCCCTAGGGAGGTGCCTTGTCTGAAAGTCTTCTGCTTCATGTAGCATCAACATGGACTGGGTTGCTTTTCTCAAAAACAAGAGACATGCAGGTGCAGTGAGGGTCTCTGGACCCAGGGTCCACCAACAGCCCAGTGCCAGCCTTCTCCGTTATAAAGTGGGGGGATGCTGAGTTATGAGGTTTCTAAGGGTCTCTGCCATCTCCAAAGTGATTTCTTCTAATGGTCACTAGGGAACCGTTAGACCAGAATAAGACAACAAAAGGTTAATCTTCTGGGAAGAGTCCTGGTTCTGACCAAACATTGCTCAGTTAATTTCCAGATGGCATCTTGGGTAATTCAGGACATCCTCTGGGTGGCTTGATGTTAAGTGACTCGCATGAATCACACAGAAGGCTTTGGTCCCTTGAGCAGCTAATTAAAACACTCCCTGCCTCAAACTGCTTTTCCATCTGTTGAGCCTTTGTAGGAAAAATAATGAAGAACTGTTTTGTCACAGGAAGACTTGATTTTGCCTCCGATTTTCCAGTTGACATCCCCAAATGAAATAATGAGTTAACTATAAATATGGAAAGCATGTTGGATTTTTAAGAACTGTGCATTGGGAAAAACTGAAGCAACTATTTTATATCCTTGTTTTTATGACATTTCCACGAACCTCTGCCATTCCAGGTTCTTTCCCTGGCTTGGGCATGTCGGTTTCCTGACAGTCTTGTGTACGTGTCCAGTGTTCTCACAATGCACCCGTCTTTCTAATTAAACTGTTCGATTCTTTGTTCCAGGAATGTGCTAAGTAAGGCTCATTCCTGCTTCTATGCCTTTTGTGTTTTTAGAATGTTCTTTTTGTACTCCTTCACCACAAACAAATTCTATGTCTATTTTAAAACCTTTTCTTAGGGGGCGCCTGGGTGGCTCAGTGGGTTAAAGCCTCTGCCTTCAGCTCAGGTCATGATCTCAGGGTCCTGGAATCAAGCCCCGCATCGGGTTCTCTGCTCAGCGGGGAGCCTGCTTCCCTCTCTCTCTCTCCCT